GGGGACAACCCAAGAAGTGAAAATTGGGTATCTCTGTGGGAGACCCTGGCTGATATATCTTGGTGACCCAGCTGTCTTGAACTGAAGCAGGTTTGTCTGCTATTCTTGTGGCCAATGGGCTTTTCAGGTTGTGAAGAGTGTAAAGCTTAAGGATGTAAGGCCTGTTAATGTTTCTACTTTCTCTAGTGCAGGGTTGGGGGGCCTGTGACCCTCCAAATGTTTATGGACTGCAACTCCCATTATCCCTGACCTCTGACCATGCTGGCTGGAGCTGATGGAAATGGGAGTCCATCAAACCTTTGGAGGGCCACATCCCTGCTCTAGTGGCTGGTTGTTGCAGTTTCTGGAAGTACGGGACAGGAGGGGTGGGGAGAAGGATTGTATTCATGGCTTAATGGAAGATGTAGAGATCAGTGGCCAATGGATGGTGCTTGGCAGCAAACGAATGTTGAAATGACATTGTGCATTCTTGCTGATAATGGTTCAGATCAAGGTACAAAACTGTATTGGACAGAGTCAGCCTGTTGGTCCATCTAATCTAAATGCTCTCTATGTTGGTAGCAGTCATCCAAGATTTCATGTTCCAGTAGGAATGGGAACATGTGGTCCTCCAGATGCTGTTGGATTCCAGCTCCTATAATCACTGGCCTTAGTGGTTGAGACTTATGGGAGCTGGGAGACAGCAATGGCTGGAGGGCCACAAGTTCCACATCACTGGTCTTTCTCAGCCCTCCTGCATGGGATGCTTCTACTGGAGAAACTGAGGATTGACCCAAGTATGTGTCCTACCACTGAGCTGCTCCTGGCCCTAGGGGAAACAGAGAGATCTATGGCTGATGGGTGGCAAGGGGTGCAATGAGATAAGGAAGACTGTCACTTTCTGGTGGTTCTGGCCTGTTGCAACTTTACTTCTGTGGCTGATGTGTGGTGGACAATAGGATTGCCTGATTTCCCCCCGGAACCATTTACACATGCATTTTTCTCATTTGATGACTGTGGCTTGTGTATATGTGCATGCATGAATCACAGCAGATAAAAGATTCATGTTCCCATGTATCTCATCCAACACAGTGCTTTTCAGTGGGGTTGGTTCACACGTTCCCATGCCAAGCCATCGGGTGCAGTGTCATCAAGGGAACAACATGAAAGTGTGAACCAGTTTTTTGACCCTGCTTGTATGCTTTGAACAGCAACTGGAAACATAGACATTAATCTCAGTGAAGCTTTTCCCAGCTTGGAAAGGAGAGTGGTGTGAATTGACTTACTTTATTGTGTCTTCGTTACTAGTTGCCATTAAAGACACTGGAGCCAGGCCAGAAAGATAAGATGACAACATCAGGGCACAGAAGTGGGTGGGAGTTTGAACGTGTGTAGCATAATATCCTCCTGTATGCTACTGTTCAGCAAACTTCTTGTCCTCTAGGGTGACTGCTTCACCCCAACCTGCTTCTCTGTCTTTAACAGCAGCAGCAGCCCAAGGTGGGGAAATGGAGCAATGCTGGGGTGGGAGGTGCTTCACCCTCTTCCTTTCTCTTTCTCAAACTGTTATGAACCCCCCAGCCCACCCCCAGGAGTAGGGCTAGGAAAAAAAAAAGCAAATTGGTAAGTTTATTTACCTACCAAACCTTTCTTCTCCTCTTGGTTGGGACCTGGATGAGGGCTCACATGGAAAGGAACTAGTTTCCTCTGAGGGAAGTTGCAGGTTAGAGTGTTGCACTCAAGTGGGTGCTGGTGGGTTGCAACGAGGCTAGGGATTGGGGCATCAATTAATTACAATTCATGTCACTTTTTAAAATGTGTACACACCTGCATATTACTTACCCCGAAGAATCCTGGGATCTGTAATTTGTTAAGGGTGCTGGGAATTGTAGGTTGCTGAGAGGTGTGAGTTACACTTCCCAGGATTTTTTTGGGGGGGGAGGGTGAGCCATGGGCCTTTAAATGTATAGTGAACACGGCCATAAGCACTTCGTGTACATTATATTGTCTAGAATCCTTGCAACAATCCTGTATGGTAGGTCAGTTTTATGATCCCCATGGGTAACCATGCAGTACCAGGCAAAAGCATTTTGCTGTTGGAGGTTGACTTCAAATGCCCATCTCCCCCGCAGGGGCAGTGTTTTACAAAGTCTTGTTGCACTGTTCAGACACAGTTCCAGCCTTCATTTTTCTCTACTCACCCACCCCACCAAGCCACCTGAAGGAAGTCTCTTCATGCTTCTGTGTGGCAGGGCCATCCCTTTGCTTGTTTCTCAAATTTGGGTCCCCAGCTTTTGTTGGACAACAACTGCCATCATCCCTAGCTAGCTGGATGATGGGAGTTGTAGTCCAACAGCAGCTAGGGACCTATGCTTGAGAAACACTGGAAGGTCATGTAGTACGATAATGACAGAAGGGAGGTTCACGCTGGAAACTTCTTGGTCTCTAACTCAGACTTTTAGCTTCTGCACCACACCAGCTCTCAATTGTTATGATGTTTGGGGTGGTGGTGGTACGTATGTGTATACACACACACACACACACACACACACAGATTCTTTCCATAGAAAAAGAATGTTAAACTTTCCTGATGCCTGGGAATGATAAACCACAGATATTGGATGCGTGCTAGGAGCAAACTCCCAGGATTGAAAGTTTGGTCTGATTGACGGGAACTCACTGAAGGAAACCACTCTAAACCTGATGAAAGAATTTGTGAGAACCTTGATTGTCATCCAGAAAGGGGGAAGGGTTCATCATTCATGATAGAATTCACACATTCTATAGCATTCCTACCCCCCACCCCCAAAGCTTGTTTGGAGTGGGTGGTTGCAGGAGCTTTTAAATTTGTGGAGTAGTTGTATAGGGGTGTGTGTGTATTTGGGAGAATTAGCGTACACACTATTTTCCCTTTAAGAAGCTGTTGTGGCAAATTTCCAAGAAGCTTTCTGGATCAGTGTGTGTTTCTGTGTTAGGGTTAGCTTGTAAATAGTAAGGTGCCTGCTTGCCTCTGGTGAGTACAAAACACCAGTAGGCAGGGAAGCTGGCTGGGGCTGATGGGAGTTGTAGTCCAAAGCATCTAGAGGGCATCAGGTTGGGGAAGGCTGCTTTAGAGAGAGAGAGCCTGTGGTTCAGTGGTTGAGCACATGTTTTGCATGCAGAAAATCCCAGGTTCAATCCTCAGCGTCGCCAATTGAAAGGATCTTATGCAGCAGGGCTGAGGTCTGAGAAAACAACTGCCATTCGGTGTAGACAATGCTGTTAGATGCACCAACGATCTGACTTAATAATAAGGTAGCTTTGTAGAAGTTTTCTTTTCCCCTGCTATCAATGATTACGTGTGTAGGCAGTGTAGCTCTCAAATATCTGTAGGCTAGTGACTTTTGTTGGCTTATATGTGAGACTGCATTAAGTAGGTTCTGGGGGCGAGGGCAGGTTCAGAGACCAAGACTACTTGAAAAGCCCTGCTAGTGATGAAAATAGGCCCCTGCCCCCAAAGAGCTTGCAATCTAACTTTGGATATTGGGAGATACAGTAAGTGGGGATGGAGAGGCCAGCATAACAGAGGAATTGTACAGCACATGCTCAAGCATTATACATACTAGGAGGAAGCATTATACACGTTCAAGCAGTATACATATACTAGGTGGAAGAGGCTGCTAACCAGCAGATCCACAGGTGCTGTTCAGAACTACTTGATTGCATCTCACTACTTTTCCAGTCTTGGATTGCTGCTTGCAGTGAATCTAAGTCTTGCTCCTTAAACTTAGCTTGCTTTCTGTCTGTCTGATCCTGCTTCTCCTGCCCCTAATCCATTGTTGCTTTCCATAGTATAGGGCTGCTTTCCCTAACACGAGTGCATGCCTGTCCCTCTCTGGGTCTTAGTGGAGGTAAGTGAGATCTTGCCTCCTGGAAAGAGAAGGGGTAGGTGTGTGTGTAGGTGTGAACAAATAGTGAAAGGAGGGTAAGCACAAAGCAACCTCTTCAAATATGCATATGAAAAATACCAGTATTTTTATTCATGACCCCCAACAGCTGTCTACATTCATGCTGATCTTGAATATGACAGGGTGTTGAAAGGGTGTTGGAAGCACAAATTTTGCTTCAGCTGTAGCATCTTAAAACAAAGAGCTTCTGAGAGGTGTGCATGAGTGTGAATACCCCTCTAGAGAGTGAACCAAAAGTAGCACACGCAAAAACAACTTGGTGGAAAGCAGAATGAAATTTTATCATGTTCCCTTGAAGTATGTATACCCAACCTTTGATAACTTTACCCCGATTCTGCCCCCCCCCCATATCAGCCCAAACAAACCAAGGTAAATAGACTGATATAAATCAAGGTGATGGTTTTATGTCTCGGGTTTGAATTGTCGTTTTATATCACCAAGCAGAAAGGCCAGTTTAAACCACAGGTTTCAGTCTGGTCTCCAAACTTTATATCTCATGGATTTCCAGAACAAGCATGCATACTAATTGGCTACTGTAACATATGGACAGGATGCAGTGTGATTGCCTGGGAATCAACACTTGCAAGGCTATCCTACGAAAGCTAAATTGCAGGGTATATATGTATGTATGTGGGAGGGATTGTTTTGAACTGACAGGATAGGGGCAGGGGCTGGGCCTTGGAGGGGAGGAGGATGTTGAGGTTGGTGTGGTGAATGCTCTGCTCTACTTTTCATGGCTGCACATGGCCTGGGAGCCCTCTTGGAAAGAAACAGAAATTGTGACTGTCCTTCCACTCAAGTGTGCTCTATATCCAATTGATTTTGAGTGGGTGGGTGAGGTTTCTTCTGCAATCTCTCAGTCTCTGCGCCAGGAAACTCTCCCATTGAGGTGCTGAGCGTGTTTACAAAGAGCTGCAATGGAACTGGTTTAGGAGAGGCACTTATGTGCACGGCCCTTTCGCCGTTCAATGTGCTGCCGCCCACCATAGCTTTCTGTGCAAATTGGTGTTAATTTGCTGTGGAAGCAACAACAAAAACAGATGGGAAGCTGCCTTAATAAGCCATCTCAATAAGACTCAACTAATCAGAGAGAGGTTATTTCAGAATAATGGCCTTGCTGGATCAGACTGAGTCCAGCATTCTGCTTCCAATAGCAACTGCGAAATGCTTCTGGATGCCTGTATGAAGGGACCTGAAGGTGACGGCTCACCCTGTTTTTCTGCTCATAACACCTGGTACTTGGAGATATATTGACTCTGAACATGGAAGTTCCGTTTAGCTGCCGTTTCCTCTGTTTCCTGAATTCCCAGGCAAGTGCTGATCCTTCTGCAACCTTGATAGAAGTACAAAAAAACTTTACAGGGGAAATCTTAAATGGGAGGTGGGGAGGAATCCAAAATAACCCAATAACAGTGGGCAAGGAATTCTCATTGACTGTTGGGGGAACCGGAACTAGAAAACAGAGAGAGAAACAGGGTGGGTCGAATGGAGAATACTGGAAAAGAACATGGCTAGCTGGCTGGAACCCTGAAGAGGAGCACGCCACACCTCGGCAAAATTGTGTTGCAGGTTACTGTTGTACTGGCTATTAACCATTGATGGCCCCACATCCCTTCAAAGGTGGGGAAAACTCAAAACTGGGGACCAAATGCGGTCCTCCGCACTCTTTATCCGGACTTCAAGACCCTTCCCTTCCCCTGCTTCCAGTCCAAACCTTTCCTGGAGCCCTGCTCTGAATTGTCCACAAGGTGCTTTTGCCTGCCTGCAAATATGATAACATCTCTTAAAAGCCTCTACTGCACCCTGTTCTTCTGCTTTAATCGCTCCCCCATAACATGTAGCCCATGTGATGTAGTGGTTAGAGTGCTGGACTAGGACTTGGAAGACCAGGGTTCAAATCCCTACTCAGCCATGAAGCCCACTGGGTGACCAGTCACTGTGACTCAGCCTAACCCGTCTCACAGGGTGGTTGTGGGAATAAAATGGGCGAAGAGTGTGTACCACCTAGAGCTCTTTGGACAAAAGGTGGAATATAAATGTACTACCAATAAATAAACAATAAGGGAACTATGGGGGGTTGGGAGCTTAGGCCACAGCCAGGCACTTACTGTGTGACTTCCTCATATTGGTGTCACTGTCAGACAGCTTGCCTGTATTTCTCTGCCGACAGCCGGTGTGAGTAGACCTAGAATGGGGAGATGTGATAGTTAAAGGAAACCTCTCCCAAGCAGGACTCAGAGCTGAGAAATTTGGAATAAGAGAAGAGTGGATGAGATGGACCATGCTGAGCCACAGCCTATTGGGGTCTGGTCATGCTTTGCATTGCAGTTATGCTCTTTGTAGGCCTTCAAACTGAGTCACTGTCTCCCCTCCCCCCCCATGCCATGGGATATATTAGAAGGCCAAAGAAAATCCTAAATGTGAACTCCCAAGATTGCCAACTGACTAGGGTGGGGAAATGAATAGGCCTGCTCCTGTGCATTTAATGGCAACTTGATCTTCCAAAAAGATCCGGTAAAGCTTTTCACAGTATAGAGATGAGCACCCATCACCTGGTAATTCCTGCATATCAAGTTTCTGTTGGAACACAGGAGCTTAAAAAAAAGTTGGCAACCCAAACTCCAGATACATGCATTTTTTTAAGGGTGATCACAAAATCAAAGCACCCATGATTCTTTGTGAGCAGGTAGAGATGCAGTGCCTCAAAGAGCTTGTCCAGTTCTTGATGGGGGAAGGAAGTGTCCTGTGATGTACAAATGAAGCCTTTCATAGTGTCTGCTAGAAGAGCTTACATGAAAATCGGTACCCTAAGTGGCTATTAACTAACGGCGAATGCTGATGGAGCGTTTGTGCCATTCCCGTGAATAACAAATGAATTTGTGTCCCGTCAAAACAATGAGGATGAATTGCAACTGAATAAACATGAGCATGCTTTACAATTTGCCATTCTTCCCAGCTGACTCACGTTGTGGTTTTCCTGCATTTTTGCACAGAGGCCATGCAAAGAAAGCCACCAAGAGCACAGTGCATCTCAGGACGTCATCCTGCACTAACCATATTTGGGATTAAATGAATGATGGTTTGCACTTGCAGTAGGGCTTGTGCAGGAGAATATCCTGCTGGCTTGTGTCTCCCAGTGTCCATTGGATATAAGTGAGTATGGGTCAGGCTTCCTCAACCTCGGCCCGCCAGATGCTTTGAGACTACAATTCCCATCATCCCTGACCACTGGTCCTGCTAGCTAGGGATCATGGGAGTTGGTATAGGTGGACTGGGGACAGTTTTGCCCTCCAATGCATATAAAAAACAACACTCATATCTACTTAATGGGCACAGTAAATCCTAAACATGCTTATTATGAAGTAAGTCTTGTGCAAGCAACATCACACTCAAAGCCTAGTGACTTTATTTAATTTAATTGTTTTTATTTATTTTATTTTATTTTATTATTTAATTTACTGGCTTAACCTGGGGTTGCTTCCAGGCTGTCGCTGTTTTGGGGTGGGATTCAGTTATATCCTGGAAAATACAGGTCTTGCAATTAAAGCTGATTTGGAACCCTTGTGCAACAAACCTGCTTCCCTAAAAATCAGGCTTTTTGTGATAAGGGAAGTGAGGGGGGAAAGCATTGGAAAGTGTGAGATAACACTTGCTTAACACAAGGGCAAATCAGGATGAATGCTCATTCAATATCAGGTTGTCAAACCTCTCAGCAACCAAATCAGGGTGAATGCTCAATTAACAGGTTGTCTGGAAGAGCAACCTATTTATTTAATTTATATCACACTCTTCTTCTGTGATGGGGCTCAGGGCAACATACATTGGGTCCCTGATGTTGATCAGTCCTGCTGCCTGATGTGCCTTCAAGGCCATGAATCTTATTTCTTCCACACTCCAAAGAGAAACATATCCTTTGAATGAGCCTCTCCCACTAGGATGTACTCCAGAGCTAAATTTTGCCTCAACTATAAAATAAGGTATTAAAAGACAAATTACCGGGTCGATATGTTAATAATGTGATAGGCACGTGTCTTTGTTTCTTCTTTTTGGTAAAGAGCAACCTTGGGTGGGTGGGGGTGCTGTTGATCCTGATTACTGTCCACCATGCTTCTGTTTGCTCCAGGAAGGAACTCAGTGTGGTGTAATGGTTAGCGTGTCAGATTAGGACCTGGGAGACTAGGGTTTGAATCCCCGCAACCATGGAGCTCACTGGGTCTTGCCACTGGTTTTCAGCCTAGCCTACCTCACAATGGGAGGATAAAATGAGGAAGGGGGAACCATGTACAGTGTACACTGCAAATGGCACACACATGTGTGACCATGCATGCTTTAAACGCGTGCAAAATGAAAGTTGCCTGTATAACAGCTTCAGCAATTGTGGTTTGAAGTTAGCTTGTTTGGACCCAGTCATAGTTCAGATTAACCACAGGTCCCAGTCCAGGTGGTGTGATGTCCTAAGCCTTTTCTTGTGGACTGGAGCTGTCTTCAAAAGAATCTCCTGGAGGTCAGACCTGGCACTGGGTTGAGAAAGTGTGTGTAGTTTATCTGCTGAGAGGAAGACAAGGTTGCTGCCTGTGAATCTATTCTGGGTCAATCCTGATTGCCGAAGTTGGCTTGGGAGTGGAGCTGGGCTTTATGAATATTTGATGGACTCTATTCCTGGCAGCAGCAGCAGCATGTCCTTGAAGGTGTCGAACAGAAAGGCAGGTGCCTTTTGCGTGTGAGCTCCTAGGTAAGGATTGCCCTCCTCTTGTGGGAGACACGTCAGACCCAGAAAGCCTGTTGTGGGGACAAACCTATTGGTGTTTGGGTTTTTCTAAGGTTGATTTGCATTGACTCTGGAGACTTGCATCCAATATAGGTAGCAGAATTACAACTCCCAGCAACTTTTAGCAAACCACAGTGCCCAGAATTCTTTGAAGGAAAGAATGAGCTTTGCATATGCTTTAAAGGTATGGCGTGTACACAGCCTCATATAACGTAGCCTTGCATATTGTTTTTTCTTTCCCATTCAGGATCTGATGGATCATACATTTGTATGGTGTCAGAAAATAGCCTACTACCACCACCCCTGTTCAGATTAGTGACTTTGAATCTGTTTAGTGACGAGTGTCCTCTGTGGCTAGGCTTCCTAGCTGGTGACACTGGGGACTGTTTACTTTGCAGACTCTTTCTGTGGGCAGCACACTTTTCTTTCATCTGGCTTGGATTGATTTGCGGGGGCTGTGTCAGTCCCATCTCCTGTCAAGCTGAAGTAAGGACCAGATAAAGGTCACCTCCACACCATACATTTTAAGTTTGGAGCTGCGCTATAACTCAGCTCTTAGAAGCTAGATCTGCTGCAGCTCCTCCCATCTAGAATAGGGACGAGGAAGAAATTCATTCAGTTCACATTCTAATGCAAACCTACCTAATTCACATTTCCTGAACCAATCAGCTAGGGCTGAGGAGCCTTTTCCAGCCTGAAGGCCACATTCCCTTCTGGGGGCCACATGCCAGTGATGATTGGGGCCAGGAGCAAAAAGTGTACGGAAACAGGGCAAACTGAACTTAAGGTTGGGAAAATGAGAAATTGAGAAACTGATGGATTTGTCCATCCTTAGGGAGGAGCAGTCGCACTTCTATTTCCTACATAAGCAGCCTCAGTTCCTGCCAGTCGTTTTTTTTAGTGGGGTAAAAACAAAGCCTTCTTTGTTTTCAACATGTTCTAAATAGATAGATACTAAATGATAGATAGGGACGCGGGTGGCGCTGTGGGTAAAACCTCAGCGCCTAGGACTTGCCGATCACATGGTCGGCGGTTCAAATCCCCGCGGCGGGGTGTGCTCCCGTCGTTCGGTCCCAGCGCCTGCCAAACTAGCAGTTTCGAAAGCACCCCCGGGTGCAAGTAGATAAATAGGGACCGCTTACCAGCGGGAAGGTAAACGGCGTTCCGTGTGCTGTGCTGGTGCTGGCTCGCCAGATGCAGCTTGTCACGCTGGCCACGTGACCCAGAAATGTCTGAGGACAGCGCTGGCTCCCGGCCTATAGAGTGAGATGAGCACACAACCCTAGAGTCTGTCAAGACTGGCCCGTACGGGCAGGGGTACTTTTACCTTTAAATGATAGATAGATAGATAGATAGATAGATAGATAGATACTAAATAGATACTAAATGATTGTGATCCATGCCCTTTTATTGTGAAGCCTGATCATGTAGTCTTGTGTTGGGTAAGTGAATACTTAGTAGTGAAGAAAAAAGTACAAGGTGGAAGCAGGATTATTTGCGATCAGTGATGGGGACATTGACTGTAAAGTAATTGCAATGTGGCTTGGAAGATGAGTACCGTACTTTGTGCCTGGAGAGTATTGGAATACTGTATTCTCGTAGTTCTGTATATTGGATCAAATATGTTAAATAAAAAGTACTTTTCTGTGACACAATTTCAAACCAAACGTTTCAATTGAGATTTAGACATGTCAGATCAGACTTCAGGTTGAGGTGGGAGAGGAAGAGATTTTGATGAATGTGACAAGATTCTCAGCAAACTTCAATGGTCTCCTTTTAGATATATTGCAGACTAAGTTGCAAAAAAGTGGGAGAAAAAGAAAAGTGTATTTTAAGACTGTTTGTTGTGTATATATATATATATATATATATATATATATATATATATATATTTCATAGTAACTATAGCAATGAAGTCAAGCAGTCGCCCTTTCCTTTTAAGTGAAGAGATCTGTGCCTTTCCAGATATCAAGCACATGTAACAATAGCCACTCACTGTGTAGAACCGATAACATGGCTTGGAGTATAGGTTCTTCTAAGGAATAAGCACATGGACTGAAACAAGGGGAGGAATGATGGATTTAAGATATTTTTGCTCTTTGGTGAATTAAAGTATTACTGTGGAGCTGCATGAAATGCAGTGTGGAAATTTTAAGGCCTCAGGATGTTATTTAGCTAACCCCTAGCACACAAAAACAGGAGTATCCATCCACATAACAGCTTATGGAGACCAAAGTGTACCTCAAACGGGGAGAGCAGGTAGTCTGCAAAGTAAGTGACTCTGGCAAGTGAGCCCAGCTACATGCTACAGGAGAAAGGTGGCATCACCAGCTATGATATATAGCCATGGGGAAAATTACAGCTGTTGTCTATATCATGATATGCTATTGCCCATCCTTGAGCATGACATCAAATTAAGCACTGGAACGTAACAGATCCAAACCAGCAAAACTGGTCTCTAACGGCTAGATTTCTTTGAAAATACTTTAGGATTTCATCTTTTGCTGTATTAGAGGGCAGGACTGCAGATCTGCTGCAGTGCATTTAAATGCAGGCTGCAGATAATGCCAGCTATGGCGTCAGGCAGGCGGGAGCCCTCCTCAAGGGACGCTTTCTAGCAGGTCCAGAGGATGTTTTCCTTGTCTTATGAACTAGTTCAGCTATTTATCAGGTAGATTTGCTCCAGGTTGTCAGAGACTCATTGTGCCTATATGCTTGTACTGCACTCCTGCAGTCCAAAACAATCTGTAGCATTTGGGGCTGTTTGATAAGTAATGCACTGAGAGCATTTGCCACATGCATGCTGATGTTCAGTGTGAAACTCATTAGATGTAAAACTCAGAAAAATGTTGATAAGAGACACATAAGTGGACATAGGCCAGGGGGCTGAATGCAATCAGGGCTCCTTGGTGCGTGTCTAGTGCATGTCCCTCTGTGTGTGTCTGCAAACATTTCTAAGTCACACTTTATGGTGTTTGCGGCTTCTGACGCCAGTGTACAAACAAAGGTGCTTACAGAGCTGCCACTTTGGTATTAAGGAGCAGGGTTTCAGAGGACACTCAGGTTTTTTGATGTATGTACAGTTCTCACTGTATGTGTGTCTGCTGAACAAAAACCAGGGTGTGTATGTGCTATGGTACAATGACTCTGTACCCACAGCCTGCATGCAGTTTTTTTGTTTTTTTAATGTGGAGGAATACTGGGCTTTATGAAGCTGCTCAAACGTGCCAACATGTGCAGACTTAGAGGGGTGGGGGAGAGAAATCTGGCTCACAAGATGGGACAGTACAGAAGGTGTTGCAAATTGTTTGTCTAAATAACTGTTGCTAAGGGACTCGAAAGCAAGATGTGAGGAGGTCGTTTTTATGCGCTGGAACTACCAGGCATAAAGATCATGCTAGGCTGTGCTGCGTTATTGAGTATAGACTATCAGGGACAGCTAAAGGGTTTTTGTTGCCCTAGGTCAATTAAAATCCTCCCCTCCCCTGTGACTTACTGTAGGCTGAGCAGCATAACCGTAAAACATCAAATGGGCATGGGATGTTATTTTTATTTTTAACTTCAATAATTGGACCATCATACCCAGGGCTTATTTTCAGCCAGAACTCACTGGAATTCAGTTCCAGCACCTCTCAGGTGGGCACCATTGCCATTATAAGAGAACAAGGAAGGCGTTCATGGTGAGTTATGGCACCTCTTTTTCTAGAAAAATAGCACTGATCATACCACTCTACTCCACAGGTTTGGATTAAATTCTAGGCACCATCAGCTAACATACTTTAGACACTTCACTTCACATATAAGCATGCATTAGAAAACTTGATCAATCCAGTTCTGTCTCCAAGACATTAACATAGCTGAGGCAAGAGCCCCTGGCATTTCTGGTGCCCCAGGCAGTTCCCTGATTTACCTCTAGGACTGTGTCAGCCCTTCAGACTGTGAGGTGCCAGTGACATCAACTAATACAACTGTGTGAAAACTGGTTAGTGCGAAATATTCAATTTTGAGAAGTATGTGTGCTTCCACTATTCCATCCTGAAACCACCACCAGCTTCCAAACTAACTGCCTGTCGAGCATTCATTCTGATTGGTTTGCATGACGTTTGTGGGAGGTTATACGTACGACATTGGCTGTTTATGGAGCATTCATTGAGATTTGTTTGTGAGGAGGTTATATCTTTCAACAAGCAATTGTTATCCAACACTTTCCAGTGCACTTTCCTGTCCCTTTCCTTGCTGCAAAAAGTTCAGGTTTTTTGAGCTTGGGGAGGGAAGTGGGTTTGTTGCACAAGAGCTCCAAATCCACTTTTATTGTGCAACCTGAATTTGCTGGTATGTGATTGAATTCCACCCACAAAATTGTAGTAGCCAGGAAACTCCCTAGTTTGCAACTAACAGCAGGACCAATGCTTGCAGCATTAGTACTCCTGAAGTCATTAAATTGAGCTGAATGGGATTGGGGAAAAGAATTTGCTTGAGAATCACATCGCAAAAAGTTTTAATTTATATTTTCTTAACTAGATAATCTTTTTCAACCTTTCCTTCTATGGATTCTGTTAAGTAACAGATGTAGGACACAAATGTTTTATTTATACCTACCATTGTAGGGGAAGTGAACAGTTATTAGAGCAAGCTGTTAAATATTGGGGGATGGGGATTGTAGTTTTTGGTTTTCATGGTATCCTCCAGCAGTCTTGAGCACCATGCCAAATGACTGTGGCCTTTTGTATTTAAGGAAAGTACACTAGAGTGCAACTTTTCAAATTATTTTCAATAATATCTAAAGGAAAAGAAAGAAATAAGATGTAGAATCATTGTAGGGATACTACTGGAAAACATAAATAATCAAAGGCAATGCTGTCAAGCATCCGTTTGTCAGAGCTACTTAAATTTCAAAAGCAGAATTTGAAAAATGTTCGGAATTCCAAGGAAGTCAAACTTGAAAACTGTGCCTCAGTTGTCAAATTTGACTAGCATTATTCTCCAGCTCTGCTTTTGAACAGGAGCCACGATCACATTAAATCTGGCTAGTGCAGAGTAGATTTCAGATTGCTGGCTGCTGGCTAAAATTGTTTCTGGATCACAAGTAGTGCTGGAAGATGGAGGCTGTCAGGCAGTGGCTTGGGGTCCCCTGAAAGATTCATGCCACTTGGGACACCCTGACAGCCAAGATGCCTGCTATTTATGTTTGTGTAGCTCCTTGCAGAGGGTGGAAAGAGGGCATTGTCTTCATTGAAACCACTATTTTCTAACATAATGAACTGTTCTTGCCCTTTAATGACCACAGCTGCCTCTGCAAACAGTAACAGGGTCCTTCTTAATGCACAAGATGACTCTTCAGGGTATCAGGATGGTCATGTTCCAAGTCAATTTGCACCTTCAATACCTTTCTGGATGGTCTCATGGCATCTGTCACAAGCCATGCATGGTCTGTAACTTTTTGCAGGAAACCTGTAAGATTTTGTACCACAAACATTCTGATTTATTATTTTTTTGGGAGGGTGTGGGTTCTGCTTTTGTTGTGCTATAGCCCTGGTAATGTGCTGAACTAATTTTGCTTCTTTGTGGTGTACTTCACGGTGATGCTGACTACTGCCATTTTGGGGGGGGGATGGAAACAAGCAAAGGTTTAGCACAGCAAGCATAGCCTTTAAAGCTGTTTAAAAGTGTAACGGTGGTGCACAGCTGACTACACTTGAAGGAGTGGGGAAGGGAGAGAAGTTTGTGCTAGGGCATCCTGGCAATTTACTCAGTTAAAATTGTTTTTTAAAAAGAGGCAGGAGTAGGCGTACGTGCGTATGTCCGTATGCTCTCTCTCACACACGTGCTCCATTGGTCCTTCCCGCTAGTTGCTTTTTCATCTCTCTTGTCCATGCTGACTAATTCACTCTCACCCTCATCATTCACTTGCTTTCCTCCTCTCTCCAGCATGCTCTGGGAGTCATTCTGTGGGTCAGGCTCTCTGGGAGCAGGCATTGCACCATAATGCAGCTACGTACCTTCCAGCTTGAAAAAAGAGGGGGAGTGCGCAGTAATTGTGTGAAAGCCTCTTGCAACCTGGCATGCTGACAATTGACAGGGGTGGAGAGGATAAAACATTTGGATGCAGGATTCCAACCTTTCAGACGCAGGTGGAGGAGAGTGGGGAGTGAACCTCATGGGGTTGGGGACAAGGCAGGAAGACCTCACAAACTCCAAATAAAACATATATTTTTTCTGGAAAGAGGGGGGCATTTCTCCATAACTTTGGGAAGCTTTACAAATTGGGGCTTAATCTTGCTGAATCCCAGCCAGGGTGATATAGTGCTATAGCTTATTCTAAAGAGCATGCAGGGTGGTAGTCCATCGTAGTGCAACTAATTTCCATTAAAAGAAATATGGAGAGGAGGACAGATGGCAAGAACAGAAACAAAGGACTGGGTGGAGTCAAACGAGGACAGGGTAGAGTGGATAATGTGTCAGTATAGAATAGTTGTCTGGAGGTGACATTACTCCTTCCCATGATCACTTCAGCAGCAAAATATTTCTCTTCTCGGTCACCAGGGTCAACTGGGTCGAGACTTAAGCAAAAAAATAAAATATATACACTAGAACTAGTCTCTTTGTGGATAGTAGTTCTACTTACCTCATGGACTCTTTCTCAGCTTGACAGATATGAATAGTTTATCCTCACCTTCTCATATTTAATCAGGCATTACCTATGCAAGTCAGATTCTTTCTTGGAGTTGATTTCCCATCTATCATAGACTCATATAGTTGAAGGGACCATGGGGGTCATCTAATCCAACACCCTGCAGTGAAGGAATCTTTTGCCCAACATGGGGCTTGAACCCACAACCCTGAGATTAAGAGTCTCATGCTCTACCAACTGAGCTATTCTAGATGGATGTGATAACATAGTGAGCATCATTGATACAAGGATTGCAAAGCATTTTTTTTGCAAATGCTAGAGAAGATATTTTAAAAGAATGTTCTATTCTGACAGGATCTGGACATAAATATGGGCCCCTCCCATGCATCTCACAGAAAGGCTTTGATTTGGCTAAAGGACCCTTGTGTGCTCTGCCTCAGCACAGTGCCCACAGATTGGTTCTTGTGTCACCCTTCTCTTGACATTTGCAAGAAGCCAAAGAGAAGGTTGCATTACAGTAAGGTTCAATAGTCATGAATTAACAGTCTGCTATTCTCATCTCCTATCACCTGCCCAAAGGGCACTATAGACCATTAATTTCTTTTCCACACTGTATCCCAGGCTGAGGGCAGAGGGAGAATGTACTTCTCTAGGTTGGTGCCTGTCCCCTCCCCCAAATGCAACAATGTTGGGGAAAGTAGTGGCTAGATTTGGGGAGGGGAGAGGGTGGAAATACATGTTGTGTAACTTTTATTTATATGAATAAGGAGTTTGACCCCATACTCTGAATTTACTTTGCTGCCAGCCAGGCAGCAGAACTCAAGAATATCCATTCACAAAAATGCCTCCCCACAGAAGCCAACATCTAATAAATCCTTTTTGCAATAATTTTGTGGGGCAGTTTTCTCAGCACATGCTGGTCAGCTGGAGAGAAGTGTGCCTCTGAGCACATAGATGCAGTGTTGATCACAACAAGTTTCCATGGAACTAGCCATTATATCATGAGAGAGGATATGTGAAGAGGAACAGGTTTTTTTTTGGGGGGGGGGAGAGTTAATTTCTTATATACAATGTGGTTTAGCTTACTTGCTTTGAATTAAATAGCTCTGCCTTACTTTTACTTTTTCCAGTACTACATAGATTGGTTCATTCACTCGAGAATCTGTGTGGTGCAACTGTTCTCTGCTGGTGGCATCCTGTAGCCTCTGCCTTGAGTGTGGTGGATAGTGTGTGAATATTCATGGTAGGGGTTTGGACTTGATTATCTTTTGGTCCCTTTCAGCACTGTGATTCTTAAAAAGAGAGAAGCTCGGAGAGGTCACTTGCCCTGGATGGATTAGCACTCACAGTTCAAAGCAGAATCCATTTACTTTGAGCTAGCAATTATGGCACAGCTTCATACAGCTTAACTATGGAGTATCAAGACGCTTCAAATCCACACGGACCAAGATCTGTTTACTTTACAAGTCATTTCCATCTAAATGATCATACAGCTTAATCCTCTCTTGGGTTGGGTTGGGGGAGTTGGTATATGCAAATATTCCTGTGCTAACTGGTGTTTACATATGCTAATAACATCTGATCCGTTTGGTGCCAGCTGGTCCAGTCACCATGAACCTCTGTTACTGTCATAATTTGCTCCATCAAGGCCCTGACATGTTGCTGCTTCAGGTTGTTTTTAAGGCATTCAATTTCCACCTATTCCCCCTCTTCCTGGCATGAGTCCATCAGGGCATGTTTCCTGGACAGAGTTGTAGAAAACAACTCCTGAGTTTCCTCCATGTTTTTGTTTATGATCCCAGAGCTCAGCCTGCAACTTCATAAGGCAACAAATAGCACCTTTCTGGTATATGCTCAGTGTATCTCATTTTTATTAATAAGTAAGCATGGCCAACCCCCTGAAAATTTGGAATAAGATGTGAAGATGAAGGTCTGCAACTCGGTGACAGAGCATCTGCTTTGTATGCAGGGCTGGGAGAGTTCCTTGCTTGAAACCCTGTAGAGATGCTGCCAGTCAGTGTAGGCAGTAGTGCGCTACATGGACCAAAGATGCGACTCAGTGTAAAACAGCTTCCTGTGTTCCTATGTGAAAAGAATCCAATTTCTTTGTGGAATTTAGATTTGTGGGCCTTCCATTTTAGAAATCAAGCAAATGGGCACCACACTACCAACTAGTCTCAGCTGGTTACTGTAACCTTTTCAGCAGCCCCGAGCTTCCCCTCAGATGCAGGAATTAATTTCCCAGGCTACCAAACCCCAAGGGAAGGCTTAATAGGACGCCGGGAGCACAAGTTCAGGCCTAGATATGGGTGAGGTGTGTTTCCATGGCAACCTTTGCGAGGAGAAGGCTCGGCAATGTGCATGGGCCCAAGGCAGTGACATTTCACAGCTCTTCTCTCCCCCTCCCAAAAAAATTAAATAAAAATTGGTGTCCTTTCACCATGAGCTCTCTTCCACGGCTGTAATGCCAGGGTTTCCATGTCTTGAGCGTGAATCAAGAGACCCACAGAGTTTGCCCAGAACAATTGTGGTTGGTGTATTATTGGACACTTGCCTGCATCTTGTTTCTATACAAGACATCAGGTACCTCACATTCATTTGTGCACAAAGGTTTTATTGGTTCTGTGGCCACAAATGTTAATGTACATTAAAATCCCCAGCTCACTCACAGACATTAATGTAATTTGGTTTTCCTACTCATTAACCACCCTATGAGTTTCTTATCCCTAAGCATTCTGTGTTTATAATAATCAGTCTTATGTGGTCTAAGTACCTAAGACCATATGTACATAACAGCATAATCAGTGCATAAGAGCACGATAAGTACGGAACAATAATTATGCCTTTTAAGTACATAAGAGATTATGTATGATATTATGCATTTTAATAACATCATGTATTATTATGCTCTCGTGTAATTATTACTATAAGTACATAAGAGCCCAGCTGCATGAGTCGAAAGGTTTGTCTAGCACAGCAGCCTGTCCTCTCCCTGGTAACCTGTATCAAAAGGAATGCTGCCTTTGATCCTGGAGGTAGTATATAGCCGTCACAACTAATAGCCATTGATAGTTTATCCTCCATGAATATAAGAAGGTTCTGAGTGTCAAATGAAACCCATCCACGAAGTCTCCATGTAGACACTCTGTTAGGAAGCCCATTTGCCTTACCTTATGCTCCATCTCTGTGTACTATCATTTCATTATACTTTGCATACATAAAGCCAACTTCTATCTAGGCTCTTGGCTGCTCATGAGCTATACAGAACCACTTAACAAAAACAAAACACCCCCCCCCCACCGCCGCAAACAGGCTTATGCCAAAAGGCTAGGAATTAAAATGCATCTGAGTACCGCCTGATGTACAGCTTCCAGGCAGCTTGGCGCTGTGGGGCTGAAATATTGGTTCTGTTCCCTGTCAGTGTGCACATTGATGGGTGTGTGTCATAGCTATTAGTCCTCCTGGCTGCCTGAATTTGTATGTTGTTCTTGGGCTTGAGAAGCTTGAATACATAAGTGAGTATTATTAACTGCTTTACGTCTTAATGGCTTGAAGGCAGTCTTGACATTTGAACACCCTGATAGAATTGTAGGGAGCTGCAGGGGGAAGGATCTTGTGGACCACTGGGACAGGGGAGGGGTTCATAATAGCTGTTGGCAGGGGGTGGGCAGGGCCTACTATGCAGGATACCCTCATCCTTTTTTTCCTTTAAAAAAAACCACTACCCATAAGCAAAACAGCAAGGCTATTTCTGAAATCCAAGTTGCTGTCTCCTTGACAGGGAGCCGAAGGAGGTGGGTTTACAGCAGAAAGGATAGCATGCCCAGGAGGGAGTCTTCTCTCTAATGCAGCCTGAGACGCCCCTTCTCCACCACATCAACCCCACTGACAGGCTCTTCCAAGTGTTGTGACCCAGCCTGTACTTAGGCTGATGGCCTGGAAGCAGGAGGAAGATCTAAACGAGGCATCTGGCATGTCACGAAATGCAGCTGCCCCTTCAACCAGCCAGCAGAGGCAGTTTTCTGTCAGGATAAGCAAAGGAAAAGAGGCTGAGGGCTGCCACTAAAGTGGGGCTGCACCTTTGGCCAGCACCACCAGTACCAGAACTTGGGGAGCTCTTCTTTTTTAAAGGAACTGGTTCTGTTTCAATATGAAAAAACCCTCAACTAATTCCAGTTTGTAGACTCATAGAATAATAGTTCGACCCTTTAGAAAACAAACTAGTTTGGCTCACATTTCAATTCAAATGTTTACCCAAATGATCTTTGCCCAAAAAATTCTCAGCATTTAGAATGTTACAAGCTGCTATCCTGGAGTATAAAGTATGAGAACAGTAAAACACACACACACACACAGACAGACACACACACACACACACACACACACACGGATGTGGGTTGCTTAATTTAGGCCCCCTTCCAACAATTATGATCTTTCAGCTGTAAAGGCCCAAAGAGTCTAAAGGCATACAAAAAAAAACCACATGCAAGAGAATTAATTTGAAGAGGAATAAGAAATCGTTCATCATTTTACCCCCAAACTTAATTCACATTCAGTTCATGCAGCAGCTATGGGAACTACTTTCATGGGTAGTTCAGATATTTTTGAACCAATTTAGTGAAATTCACTGAACCAAACGAGATCGTTCCAAGCACTGACCAATACCCAGCCAACTTCCTAATGGGTTTGAATAGCAGGATTTGGCTGCTGTGCTGATTTTTCTAGTTCACTTCAATTCTCTTCTCCTTTCCTGCTGAAACTACTTAGGTTTATTTTTTTTCTATTCACATGCTGCTTTCCCACAGTGTGCCATGCCCACAGCAGCTTACCACAAACATTCACAATTACCATCAAAATATATTTTTTTGGGGGGGGGGACACACCCACTGACAAAACACAGCAATGTTTTCAAATAGGGAAAAAAACCAACAATTCAGCAAACACAGAATAAATTATATATAACAAATAAATAACCTACACTTAATGCATAGCTTTCGTTTTGCTCTGGACTTAACTGACAGTAAACAAAGGGAGTAAAGTCTTCTTACCAGGCCACTAGATAAATCAGTGTTGGTCTCCTCATCTGTCCTCCAAAGGAGGCTGGCAGTAGAAAAAGAGAAGCCCCAGGGAGGACACTGATGGTGACTTCTCTTCCTTAGCCTCCCAGAGGTTCCAGTTGCTAGGCAGTTCCAGCCTTACTGGTTTGGTAACTTGTTCATGACTCTCCTAAACCAATGCTCAGAATAGGGTTTCCAGTTACTGGGGAAGGGTTTCAACTCAGTGGTAGAGCATCCCCAGGATATCCAGGTAGGGCTGGGAATGCAACCTGTCTGAAATCAGGGAGAACTGCTGCTAGTAAGTGTCAACAATACTAAGCAAGAGGGCATATCAGTCTGACTCAGTATTAGGCAGCATCCTTTGGTTTGATACTGGCTCTCTGAGTCGCCTAGGTGGGTATGAGCAGCAAGGCAGGTGAAAGTGGTGCAAAACCAGGAGGGTTTGGGGAGAAGTTAGGGCAGCATCTGTCAGGATCTGAGATTTATGAGCTTTTCAGACCCCATTGCCTGATAAAGCATATATTGTAATGAACTAGTAAAATCCTAGCTGGTTGATAAGTTTATATTGGAAAACAGCACAACCTGCAGCTGTACTGGTTTGGAAAAGAGGATGGAACAAACTGTCAGATCTAAATTTGCAGCAACAAAGCATGCCTTGAATGCTGGGGAATTTTCCCAGTGACCAAATATTGTGGTATGAATGCTTAGCAAATGTGATTTCTCCACAAAAGGTAATAGTCAAGCTAGCAAGAGAGAAAATATTTGGATCTCCTGCAACTGAGTCATAGTCACCCAACCCAGCTCAGGATTCAGCTTGCAAAATGGACTTGGAAGAGGGAACACGGCCTCCCAAGGCAGGCTGGGTGTATGAAATGCTGCTGTCTGTGGTGCTGAATTATTGCATAAGTTGGAAAGATCACATTTTGTATCAGGCTGCTTGCTGGTGTTATGGCTCTGGACCAGAAATCCGTAGAAGCCAAGTGCACCAACAACAGCAGATCCTCTTCCCATGTGAATCTGTTGGAGCCCACATCTCAACACTGAATGCTGAGGAAACACCTCTGCCACCAGCTTCTGATGACTTGGCTGTAGACTCCTCTGAGGATCAGGAGTGTCTTGAGGAGCTTTCTGCAAAGCTATCCCCACAGTTGGAAACCCCACCATCTAGAAAAAGCCAATAGTCCTTTCACTGGCCAAATACTGCAATCACACTGTGGGGCTTCCATCTTGACTCCCTAGTCCAGACTTTGCAGGTTGCTCAAAGACACCCTTGAGACAACTTGTATTTTCTGCATCAACTGCAGCACCTAAAGCCAACACCTTGGTCCTTATCCAATGTCCTTGCCCTGCTTTCCAATCTTTTCCAGAAATATGGGCCTACTGATCACTGCCTTTCTTATGGCATAATTTCCCCTTAATGGTGGCTGTCATCATGTATAAGAACACATGGGCCTTGGACTTGCTGCATTTCAGCTGTGTACATTGCTTAGGAAAACAAGTGGCACAGCTGGCTCTGTCCCCAGGTCCTTTTAGTGCTTTTCTCCGGAGAATGCAATGCCTACTCCTCTAGGTTTCTCTGTATAATAATCTTGCTGTGACTTTCTTTTAGAGATCCATCCTTTTATCTACTCCCTTCCACCCTGATATGGAAGGATATGTGTGATGGTGGAAGCTTAGAGTTCAAGGAAATAAAGTACCACTGAGTTGTAAGGTGAAGAAGAATCAGGGTTATGGGTAAGAAGGGGGGTGGATAGGGAAACAGCAGCACAAGGCCAGGAAAGTGAGCTACCCAGGTTCAAATGAAGCGAAGGTGAATTTCACATTGATCTGAAGTTGCCAGCCAAAATTCTAATGATTTTTGGGGTTATGAGCAGCCCACTATAAATTCATGGAGCAGCCATTGCTTGCAGCATTGCTATCACAATTCACTGTCAATCCTTGGTATTATCCATGAACTAGCCTATGTAAAAATAAAATGTGTCTGGTATCTTGCTGCCTTAGCTCTGGCAAAATGCTTGGAATTCCATATACAAGAGCTTGACATCTGCCCCCCCCCACTCTACCCTTGAGGAGAACTCCCTTAAGATGCTATTAATCTGTGTTTCACAGCTCAACAATTAAGGTCCACAAGATTACATTACAACTCAGGTTCATGGAATTGCTGAACAACGGCAGGATGCAGGATTTTAAATGGTTCACTCAGGCTGAGCATCAGCAATGCGGGGGCACGCGGGGGGAGAGAAAAAACTTTCAAACCCTTGTTAAACCTAGATGAGAGAAAGGAAGAGAGTGAGAGAGAGCAGTGAGGGAAATTTGTCTTCTATTGGGGATTAATTTTTCATTCTGTATCTCAAGGCTGAAAAGTGTTTTTTGGGTGTTTTTTTCCTTGGCATATGTTCAGTCAAGGAAAAAACTAAAGATGGATTTTAAAGCTCCCCAAAGCTCAGAGGCAGGCTGCAAAAGCATCTTTGCAGGCAAGGGAAGTCCTGATTTGCCTTCAGTTTGGCCTCTTGCTGTTGAAACATTTCCTACCCTTTGACAATACAGGCTTCCTAAAGGAACTGCTGTCATGAGAAGGTTGTGAAGCTTTGCTAACTGCTTGCAAGGATGTGTGGCACGGGGACCAATGCAATCCCTCCTTGTGGATACCAACTTCCAGGGAGCTGGGCCTTGTTGGCCCCACGCACATTGTGCAGCCTTGTGGACCAAATTGCTCAGCTGTGTTTACTGAGACCTGCAGAATTTGTGGTCTCAGTACCACAAATTCAGTGGAACACAGCCCAGTGGAACACAGTGGAATTCAGTGGAACACAGCCCTCCAGTGGAACACAGCCCAGCAGTCATACATTGTGGCCTGGCAGTTACTCACTACTCCTTTTCCCCAATCCAGTCCCAGGTAGGCAGGTGATATGTGAAGTCCCTTGTGAGGCACCATACATGGATGGAGGTCTATACTTCATTACATCTACGCTGTGCATTTAAAGTACGTTTAAATCACATGGGGATAGTTTTGGGAAAAGTAATGTACAATTCCCAGCACACTTAACAAAATATAGTTCCCATGATCCTCTGGCAGGAGTTGTGTGCTTTAAATGTATAGTGGCAGCCCTTAAAATTTCCTTTCCAGTATTTGGGCAGGAATGGAGGTTCCTTCTGTCTTTGGAGAAGAGGCTTGGAATAACTCCTGAGAGTTAGACCCAATTCAGATGTAGTAATATCAGTCTGATGAATTCTGCCCACATAACTTCCTCCTCTTCCCTTCTCTCCTCCATTGTGCATCTATCTCACTTTGAGACATCTAGGGTCTGTTAAACCACAATCTCTTTATCTGAACTATGCTTTAAACTCTGACTGTCATCTTGGCTTGAAAACCCAGATTAAACTGTGCTAGTTTGTAATCAATAGTTTAAACCACAGGATTTGGACATCATGGGAAATTGTGGTTTATGAAACCTGGAAGTTTTCCATTAAGATGCACGAGAGAAGGGAGAAGGGAGTGTGTTCTTATTGCACTAGTGACTGACAAGCAGAACTAGAAACCAGGAAGCACCCATTAAAATGGGAAGCTAAATCCTGCCTCTGCCATGAACTCACTAGGTTGCCTTAGGCAAACAAAGATCTCTCTGCCTCAGACCCTTATGCACAGTATGGGAATAATAATATAGTAATGCAGGGCTTCCTTATAGCTCCATTGTAAGGATTACTGAGATAATATATGTGATTCACTTTAGACTAAAGTTTAGAGAGTTCAAAGTGTCATACAAATGGTAAATGCTATTATTATTCCTATTGTGCAGCATGACAGCATAGTCTGAAGCGGGAAGCAGCTTAGAGCAGCTCTTAATTGCAGCCCAGATAACTTTTGGAATGTGCCTTTCAAATGCTTCAGTAATTAGTCCCAAGATTAATTTAAAGTTCTCTTCCTTTGTCTTGCTTTTATTATTCCAGCTGGCATTCTCTGCTTCCCAAAGGGGAAAGCCAGTATTCTTTCCCCCTGCAGCAACAATTTAATATCTTTAGGGCAAACATCTAAGGCAGTTAAGCAAATGTAAGGAAACAGTGAATTAATGGGATCTTTTTAGCCCAAGTGTTGTGAGCTTCCAAAGCAAATGCCTGGGGCTTCTTTGAGAAGGACCCTCTCTGGGTGTCTAGATATATTTCCAACTCCATCCTCCTATCGCTGAGGTCACAACCCTTTCCCCTAGTTTTGACACCTCCACATTCTGTTCCCATGTTTCTCCCGCCTCTCCACAAAGTTGCTTTGTCAGTGAGTAAGGCTTGAGGCAGTTTCCTGGGTGTCAGCCTGATTTAGATCAAGGTGGGTGTTTGTTTATGCCAGTGGAATGACAAGCAGTTCCTGAAAATCATGCTAAGATTTTTATTATAAAGTCAAAATAAATAATAAAACAATAAATCTACCATGCTCCATAGCCCAGTTTTGTACCCTTCCCTATGCTGACTTAACTAAAGGCTACTGGCGTCAGGTACTTCTGTCAGGGTTATTACTATCCTCTTGATAGCTCAGTCAGTAGAACATAAGATTCTTCGTCCCAAGGTCATGGGTTCTGGGCAGAAGAGTCCTGCAATGCAGAGGGTTGGACTAGTTGACCTCATGATCCCTTCCAACTCCACAATTCTATGATTCTGTGATTTTGTTTTGGGGGAGCTGCCTCAATACTATGTTGCCTGCACTGTAGTTACCTTCAGGGGTACACAACTTGTATTTTTTTTATGGAAGGAGGGCAAACTTCTGACAGTGGAGTCCTCTTCCTGAAGTCATGTTTTCTTTCTTAAATGATTCTTCATGGTGGAAAATAGCATGTTGAGTAGCAGCACTTGTGGCGAGGGGGAGCTTGATGCCAGTCAAGAGAAGCTCTCCCCCCCCCCCTTTAAATCCAACTTCTATTGTTTCCTCATCAGTTTATACATATAACAAATTCTTAATAAAATATAAGGCTAAACCTCCCTTTCCACCATTCCTCTTTCCAACCCACTTTTACCAAGTAACAAACAGTTTGTTTGACGTACTGAAGCTAACTCAGACTAACTGGGAGAAGAACAAGGATGGAGAAAGTGGACAGAGAAGCTGGTGCCCATCACTGCCTATGTGAAAAAGTATTTTGTCCTGAATCGTCCAACATTCAGCTTCATTGAATAGCTCTGTGTTCTAGCATTATTTGAGAGAGGGAGAAAAACATATCTTCTTCTCCACAGCATAAACCTATCACGCCCCCCTACTCACTTTTGTGTAAACTAAACAGCCTTAAATGTTATAACCTTTCCTCATAGGGGGACTTCTTCCAACTTCTTGATTATTTTGGTTGCCATTTTCTGAACCCTTTCCAGTTCTATAATTTCCTTTTTGAGGTGAGGTGACCAGAACTATACACAGAATTCCCAGTATTGTCTCACCAAAGGTTTTGAGCACCTTGCCACTCCTTTAAACAACTTGCCTGGGCTGTTCTGCCACCTGTACTGCTTGCCTGTCTGTTCTGTTGTCACAGAGTTGCCATGGCTGCCTATTGCAGTGTAATGACAGCCTTCCAACTTTATTATATAGCAAGATATATACAATATCATGTATAGGAATGCCATAGTCTGGTAGTGGCAGGGTATGGGGGGGAGGTGCTTAGGGAAGATGATATTGGCAGTTTTATTTTCAATTTTGTTGTTTAGTCATTTAGTCGTGTCCGACTCTTCGTGACCCCATGGACCAGAGCACGCCAGGCACTTCTGTTTTCCACTGCCTCCCGCAGTTTGGTCAAACCTGTTGTCTTTGTCCATGGAGTTTTCTTGGCAGGGATACTGGAGTGGCTTGCCGGTTTCTCCTCCAGGTGGATCATGTTTGGTCAAAACTCTCCACTATGACCTGTTCATTTTGGGTGCCCTGCTCGGCATAGTTCATAGCTTCTCTGAGTTATTCAAGCCCCTTCGCCACGGCAAGGCAGCAATCCATGAAGGGGTTATTTTCAATATAGTGTGTTAAATAGCACCTGCTATTTACATGTTTTAAAATCCAGTAACACAGCTTCAGGTGATGCATTCTATTTATATCTTGCTCTTCCTTGGAAAGCAGAGAATATTTACGTGAGGCCCCACTTTGTTTCTATCTGAGAAACTTATCAAGCCCACACTGGCTTAGTTTCAATAACGCAGGTACTTTTTACCTGGTAACCCACACTTAGGAAGGTACCTTATCCCTTATGCTGAGTTATACCTGTACTAAGCAAGACTGTTGGTCCATCTAGCTTAGTATTGGCTACACTGGCTCGCAGCAGTTCTCCAGCATTTCAGACAGGTCTTTTTTCTAGTCCTACTTGGAAATGCCAGAGGTTGAAACCTGGGATCATCTGCATGCAACTCACGTGCTCAGCAACTGAGCTATAACCCCCCACACCAGTGACTTGTTTTCACCCAACCCAGTGATTCTGTTGGAAAAATGAGGTTGTCTGTTCTCATACTGATCTTGTGTAGGGGAATGGCTGGTAGTAACTAACTGCTCTTATTCCCTTTTCAAGATGGACCGTCACATTTTCTCTAAGGAAGCCAAGTTGTTGGTGAATAATCACGGCCTCACTGAAGCATCTCAAATGGGCCTTTTCAGAAAAGAGGATGGGGATTTATGGCCCTTGAGCACTTGTTGCTGTAAATGAGAAGCAAAGAGTCTCTAATGATGGGAGATTTATGGCCACAATGTCACTCTGCCAGCACCAGTGTTGAGTGTTTGGGCTTTACGACTGGAACGGAGGCTGCTGTTGTTTGAAGAGTGAGTCTCCCATTTTGCACATAAATGTCATGGTTTAGATTTTGTTTGGGTATTTGAGAATAAATCCCTCCATCATTAATATGTTCAGGGGTGTGGATTTATTGTGGATAATGAAATATAGCGTACAAGGGACTAATGTTTCAGGGAAAATCCCCAAAGGAGTCTTTAAAAATTGTGGTTATTTATTTGTTTGTTCCATGTATAGCTCACCTTTTCCATTGTTGTTTGTGGTTATTAGACATACCCATAATAATGATGTGGAGGGGATGGTTATGTTTATTGCAGAGACCTTGTGGGTGTGGATTGCGTTTCACCACAGGCTGTCAGGGGGTTGTAGTTATTATTTATCCCAGCCATTATATTGCCCCCAAGGGCAATACTCTACTCTACAAGTGTTTCCCAAACTCTCCACACACCCAGATCCATTTGAAAATTTCAGAGAGTCTTGGCGGACCACTTAATGATTTTTCTGCCTGCTGTGGCAAGTGAATTGCACTGTTGTGGCAACTGTAATGTGCTGTGCTTCATGCTGTCCAGGTTTTGATAGTATATTTATTGATTTTTTTTATTTCTTATGTACTGTATTTTCTTGCATTGCAGTTTAAATTTCATGCAGTTCAAATTGCAATACAATGAAACACAATAGTAAAAATGAAAGAAGCAATAGCATACAATTAAAAAAAGCAATATGAATATTTAAAGTGATGTGGTTGAAGACCTCCACAGACATGGGAGAAAGTCCTGGGTGGTGTACATAGAGACATTACTGAGGGGATGGCTAAAGCTTCCCCCTACTCTGGGAGACCCTCATGTTTTGGATGAGGTGTGGCTTCAGTGACAGCTGTGTCTCACAGTGCTGTCTGTTAATTTTGTTCCATGGGACTCAGTGGTACCTATTGAGAACTGAGTCAGCACCAAGATACAGAGCCACACTCCTTGCTTTGTTTTAGAGGCCTAGTCTACACATGCAGTGTAATGAGATGGGACAATAATTGAGCTGGTAGACCAAACCAATTCAGACTGTGGTGGGTGGGTTGTTGCCATTTCTAAATGCCATGGAATTTTTTCCCCTTTGAACAGAAAACAAACACATCAGGGAGGTATGGTCTAACTTAGTCCTTTGCTTACTATGTTGATTTTTTTGTTCTCAATGAATTTTTAACATAGTGGAGAATTAACAAATGGTATCCTCCACCCGCAGTATGTATTGCTTGCTGGGTCAGGCTAGTAGTCCATCCCCTCTCACATCCCTTGTCCCAACTTTAGGCAATTAGATTCCAAAGGGACATTAGTTCATGATAATAGTTTCCATCCTCTGCCATCTTGCAGAGAGAGAGAGAGAGAGAGAGAGAGAGAGAGAGAGAAACTCCTGTATACCATATACTCTCCCAACATTTGGTTATCAGAAATGTCGGAGATATCCTGTTTATGACCAAGAAGATTATTCTTTTGGTTATTATGACTGTAGCTGAAAATCAAAAAATGTATTAATCCATTGCTTATTTGTGCTAGTGGCCTTTCAAGATGTTGTGGCAATATGTTCTACGAGTTTTATTTTGTGTGTAATAAGAAATGCTTCATTTTCTTCAACACAGAGCTTCACCATTGGAATTTCAAGGGATGCTCTCCAAATTCTTGGGTCTGGATAAAGGGGAAATCAGTTTAATAAATGTCTTTCAACATGTGGCTTTATGTTCTGTTTGCTTTTGCTGATTCAGGCACATCAGCTGCTGGCTAGGTTTCTGTATTGCCGCTTGGAGGCCAGTGTTTCAGCTTGCCAGACATGAAAAGGCTGAAGGTGAAGAGGGCTTGGACTGGTTCTTGGATGTGAGCCTAGAGAATGCTACAAGTTCAAGGCCCATCGAGCAAAACCTTCTTCCTGTCACTTAGTTTTTGGATGATTAATGACGTTGTCAGAAATACAAATGCCTTTGAGTTTCTCCTTTGTTATTCACAATCATGTATGAAGGTTGTTTGTGAGGAATAGAAAGCAGAAGAGAGCCATTTTTTCCAACTGGGTTGACTCTTACTAATCTGGACACCATGAATGCAAATGTCATTTTTAGTGATAGGCAATGATTAAAATATATTTGTGTGAGAGAAGACGTCATTGGCCAACAGGCAATTTACCGTATTTGCTGGGTGGTAAGGTTTTCTACATTGAATTTGTTTCATTCTCTGTGTTGATGAAAGTGTTAAGATTTTTCTTCTGCCAAAGTGTGCTACCCTCCAGACATCCTTTTTATTGTGGTTCCTGATGATTTGTGCTCGTTATGCTCTCAGGGTGGTCACACACAATTCTGTTTTCAATACTGTTTTTACCTGCAAAAGTTTTGGGGGTGTTTGCATTGCCAGTCAGTGCACGTATTCTGTAACTTCCTGCTGGAATCCTGTAACTTTTTATGCCACAAATACTTTGCTTTATTTTTATCCTGTTTTTGCTATACTATGGCATCTCTGAACAGCAATCATGTGGTAACACTGGGGATGCCTTTGCAGAACAAACAAAAGCAGAATAAAATCCATCACTAATGCACTGTTATTCTGTCTAGAACATGTTGCTGAATACAGCCACAATAAAACACCGGTCTGGAGGGGCCCTGGGATGCTTTACCCAAGCAATACAGTTTCCCCACAGTAAGGACTTGCTGAGTTGGTTGTCTGTACCATTTATGACAGAACTCATTGAGTGGGGAAGATACTCCCCTATCAAACTATAGAGTTTTATGGCTAGCTTTGTCTTTTAGCAAACAGCTTGCATTCCCTGCATTTTTCTCAATGGCCTCTTAGATTTTTAAATTTAATTGTTCATACATTTTGAATGATGTGAATATTTGCAGGGTTTTTTTAAGCATTATTGGTTTGGTTTTTTTAAAAATCCTCCTATTTTTTATAGGAATACCTTGTTATCGGATGGCCACATGTAACAATATAAATGAGACTGTATTGTGGGATATGATGCCATTTATAGGTGGAATACACTAAATAAAAAGAAAAATGGTTAATGGGCTGAGTCTTATTGTAGCCCATAATAAGAGTTTCTACTTTTAACCTATTAATGGTCAGATTGTTACAGTGTGTTATAATAAGGCGTTCTTATTATTAAAAATATAGTCATATCTCTGAAGTTACCATCTTCTGTTAAGAGCACAGGAAGGTGCCGCCTACAGAGGCTGCATTCACACTGCAGTTTATTCTGCTTCCCTGACGTTTCCCTAACTGTTATTTTGCGGATTAAATCTGAGCTTTTACATTATGTAAAAGTCACTTCCAGAATACTAATGGAATGGAATGGAATATAGCGCAAATCTAGAGCTCATTTCCATGTTACTTGATTCTGGAAAAAAAAATTTCACAGCTGCCTGAACCCAGACGCAGAAAACTGTGACCTGTGAGGTGGCATACTGGCACGCACTGTTCTCCCTGCCTGTTTCAAGGCTTGGGGCCCTTTTTTCCATCTGATGAGAAAGTGTGCTGGTATTTTGGCATAGTGGTTGGCCTAATGTCACCCTGTTCATGATGGAGTAAGGATTTGAACCCATCTCCCCCCACTCCAAGTCTCAACACTATTCACTTTACCACACTGGGCAGTCTGGGATGGGGAGCTGGGAAGGCAGGGGATGAATATTGATGCCTGTGTCAAAATTAGAAAGCCACAGTAAATAATGGCTGCAGCCTGGGCAAAGAATCAGGCCTTAACCCTGAAGTACCGGTATTTGTAGCCAGACCTGGTCAGGAGGAACCAAGGGCATTGCCTGGAGGTGGTGATGGAAGAGGAGTGATGCAACTATGCTGGGATCTGGGAGAACGATTACTGCTCCTTCCTCATTTGATTTGAGGAAAGATAGAGTAATGGGGGTGTGGAGTGTGTTTGTATGAACTTAACAGTCTTAAACTATACACTGTTACGGTAAGTTCATATGCACACTCACAGTTCTTCCTCGTCCACTCTGTAGCTTCATGTTCTTCAACAGAAGGGGCAGTGGGGCACAGGCCAGATGTTCTTTCTCAGACCAGATGTTTTCTAGGCCAAATCCCAGATGATCCAGACACTGTGTCAAAATGATGGCGTGAATTAACCTGAAGGTAGATACAGAGGCTAAGGACGCGGGTGGCGCTGTGGGTTAAACCACAGAGCCTAGGGCTTGCCGATCAGAAGGTCGGCTGTTCGAATCCCTGCGATTGCTCAGTCACTGCTCCTGCCAACCTAGCAGTTCGAAAGCACATCAAAGTGCAAGTAGATAAATAGGTACCACTCTGGCGGGAAGGTAAACGGCGTTTCTGTGCGCTGCTCTGATTCGCCAGAAGCGGCTTAGTCATGCTGGCCCCATGACCCGGAAGCTGTACGCCGGCTTCCTTCGCCAGTAAAGTGAGATGAGCTCCGCAGCCCCAGAGTCATCTGCGACTGGATCTAATGGTCAGGGGTCCCTTTACCTTTACCTTTACAGAGGCTATGTACCCAACATACATTTATAACGCATTCCCTCACCCTGAATAATCCTTGGAACTGTAGTTTCATAGAATCATAGAATGTTTGTTAATGGTTGCCAGGAATTGTAGCTCTGTGAGGGAGAAACTACAGTGCATGGTATTCCCGCCCCCCAGGTGAGAAGCAATGTATGGTGTGTGGTGTGTATGCAACCAAGAAAGTCTTAGACATTGGCATTTCAGCTGATGTGCAAAATGCCGCTGAGCTACTGCAGTAGGATTTTAAACTTTGCTTTCTTCTCTTAATGACTTTGAGGGATACTAATAGCATTTTAAGCTCCCCTCCCCCCCCCTTTTGTAACACAAGCCCTAGCATTTGAACTGCATTCTTACCTCCCAAATCCAGTTTGCACAATGCATGAATGGGAATGCTGGGAGTGGGGAGGGCATGGATGAATCAAAGTAGGAGGATATATAATCATATTTTTACATGCTAGTTCCACTTGGAAAATTTCCACAGTCCAACATTCTTTCAAGTCTAGCAGAATCCTAACAAGACGGGTGGTTTCCATGACCACAGTGCCATGTTAAACATGGATGTGCATGTGCCCAACTGAAGATTCACTAGCCTGCCTGCCTTCAATGATCCAAACTGGTTTTGTTGTGCGCCACAGAGCCAAACTCTGTGGGATTGTTTGGCAAGAGGCAGGGATGGGGATAGCCTTGGCAGCTCAGTTCCATAACAGAGCTTTGAGTCGCTTGAAAGAGACTGCGGGGGAAGCTTATTGCACTGGCAGCCATCAAAGAGCCTCCTCAATCTTGTTTCAGTTTGTAAATACAGAAATTATATTACCAGTTGGCTGCAATATAAACAGGGTTGTGTGTGCTCAGTGCTTCAGGAAAAAAACCATGATGTGCCAAGAATAACTGGAATCTGCAACTGTGTAAATGATAATCTTAACAAACGTGCACACATTTTTGCTTACTTTGCATAATTGATTCTCCTCCTGTTAGTTATCGGGAAGGAGCTATGTAAGGTGCAGGAGCCCAATTTCATAACTACTCAGCTTCCTGCTCCCAACATCTCCAGCTTATTGAGCTACTCTAATTTCATCAGGATTTTGCCCGCATACTTTTCAGGCCTGTCTTTAGAACCATTAGAACCAGAAACTTGCTGCTTTTTTTTTTTTTACCAAAATAAATATAACATAACTAGGATGCCTGATTTTGTAAACACTCACACTCCATTTCTGTAATTAAATGTGGAATCAGATCTAAATTCAGACTTCTCATGGCTCCCCATTTCCCTGCTGATTTCAGTGCAGTTAATAATGAAACTAACAATGGCCACCAAATGGTGGCTCTTGCGGTTCTCATTACAGGCTAGAATCTAAACTGCACGAGCATTTTAACATGGGAGTGGCATGCAAAAGCTTTTTTAAGTTGGCATGTTTTGGGCACAAGTGGCCCCACACTGTGACCTCACACTGTGGCCATGTTGAAAGTTGCTACCACGTAAGGTTCTATTTCCCTTGATAAGGAAGCTGCCTTTGGCGCCAATGACAGCTTCCCTCCCAGAGCAAATAGCAGCTGGGAGGGGATTTTCAGTGAGACCACAGTGTAGAGAAAAGCTTAACCATTCTCATGCACTGGTTGATTACCCTCTCCTCGCAATTGCGCTTTAAAAAATTTAACAAGACATGAGAAATGCGTCTATAATTTGACCCATATTCTTCATTTCCTGATGGCTATATGCAATGTGTGTTCAAGTTGTATAGAATTATTTCTTTGACTGGATGTTTAAAGAACAACAACAACCCACAGTGTTTCTAGGAGAGGGCATGGTACAGAGCTCATGCTGCTATTTGTTTTCAGTCTTAAGATGATAATGGAGGAATTCCTTTGCTGGCTAATTAGGCGAAGCTTGTGGCTTTCTGCAAAAGGTGACAGGCATGTTGGGATGGAGAAGCCACAGAGGCACTATCTCTGGTAGTACAAAAAGCAGCAATTACTTGAATCTATTTTTTGCAGTGTGAGTGGCAATTTGTTTTTTTTTGGGGAGGGGAAGGGGTTTACAGTATTTTTAAGAGTGCTAAAATAGCATGTGATTTGAGAGGTGAGTCGTCCCCCCCAACATCCTCTGCTATAGATTCTGGGGCTTGCCTTTCAGATACAGCTGTTCATGGCTGCAAAATGTATTGAGCTAGCAGCATCTATTTGGCCACAGGGCATGTGGGCAGGCGTGTTTTGAAGCAAGCAGAGATGCCATCATTCAGTGGGTAGAGGCATATTTTTGCCTGCCAAAGGTGCCAAAAAAGATCTCAGGCAGTAGAACTGGGATGGCCTCTTAAATGACGCCCTGGAGAGTCACTGGACCTGTTGTCTGACATGGTATAAGGCAGTATAAGTGATAAATGCTCTGCACTGCACCAGTGGTGCTGAAACAGTTTGTAAAAGAAATGAAAAATGGAAGAAAGAAGCATTTGAGAACAGTGTGCAGATGCATTCTTCATGGAAAACACTGATTATCTATTTTTATCTAGGAAATGTTGGAGGGTATGTTTGTGCTAGGGAATTTCCAGCTGTGTTTCTGTGACAGCTAGGAGTCTGCTATTCCTCTGCTGTAATCATTGGCTAAACTGTTTAAGACTCTGATGACAACATGATGAAACCCCTTACGTCATACTCCACACAAGACAGTCGAGAGATACAGGCAGCCAATGTGTCTCACCTCTGCCCTCTGGGCTTGGCCTGTGGAGCCTCAAAGCCATTCCATTGAAAGGAACATAGGCTGCTGCAGAGAGGATAGATTCTAGCGGTTGTCGTAGCAACTGCCTCCATCTGGTACGGATCACAAGAAGTCTGATAGCCCCACGGCAAATAATTTCCAAGACTTCGGCTGCAACCCCCCTCCCCCTGATGCTGCAAGTGCTCCATAGAGTGAGGACCTGGGAATAGCTGCCTAGAGACGCTAGACATGTGCATGGGTATTCGGAGCCGTAGAAATGACTGTCAGCTTTGACAATAAAGAGTTAACTATCTGCCTTGTGCATCCACGTGGCTGGGGAGTGTTCTTGACATTACCCACTCTCACATAGCCTTCTCTGTCCCCCATCCAGAAAAGCAAGAGTCATTCCCAGACAAGCAAAAGTACTCAAGGAGGCCATGAAGCAGGGCCAGTAGCAGTTGTAGCTGGGAAAGGGATGGTGTGGCCTAGGGAGACTCCTGAGGACCAGGTAGGGAGGTTTGGAGGGCCGCATTTGGATCCTGGGCCTGAGATTCTACATCCCTGCTGTGAGCGTTTAAGAAAACCCAAAGTTGCTTGGGGCAAGCCTGGCTTCTGCAGTAATGCAGATTCTGAGAGAGACAGAGGAAACCTGAGAAGCTTTATCTGATCCCTGCTCTGTGTTTCTCTCTATCAATTTCACATCAGTTGTGTAGTGGTTAATCTCGCAGTGCAGGAGCTCATCCCAATGCTATGTCCCCAAGGAGAGCCCCAAAATGCAGTCTGCTATGTTAATTCATTGTTATACACACATATGCTCATTGACCAAAGAACATGGCATAATGCCTAATTTATTAGGATCAACATGACTGCAATCCTAGGCACATAGTTTCCCTAGGAGATTAAGCTCCATTGAACTGGGTGCTACTTAGTTCTACTGCATAGATTCAGCTTGGAAGGTACTCTGAGCTTTCGCAAAACACATTCAGCCAGCTTAAATGCAAACTTTTTAATTAGCAGCACAAACAATCTTACAAAGAAAGGTCACCATTTAAATAGCTGGAAAAATGAACCATTTCAAGAAAAAGAAAGAAGCATCAAGCCTCTGTGTGATCATTTCATCAATTATGTTGACTTTCCTTATGTTAATTTGTTGTAAACAAGCCGGAAAGCCTCTTGCTCATTCACTTGCCTGGAAATTACAGTGACGCTCCTGCAGATGACATCATGATTTCTGCTCCGAAACAAAGTCCCAGACCAGTGCTCCTCTACCTTCCCCCTCCACTATACCCCTGTTTTATACTTAGAATATAGGGAAAGCTGCGCGAGATCAGTCTGAAGATCCTTCGTAGTCCAACATTCTGTTTCCAGCAGAGTTGCCTTTGGGAAGATCACAAACTGGACATGAAAGCAACAGCCCTCTTCTGTTAATATTTGCTGTAACAAGCAGGATTGGATATAGATATGGATATCATGACTAATAGCTGCTGGTATAACTGTTGGTGTTGGTGAACATGATATTGTGCTGGATTGACTCTGTAGGATAGGAGTTGGGGCCATGGTGATGTGGTGGTTCTCCTACCTGCAGAGTCAGTTCCAGAAAGTAGTATGAATTAGGTGCGGAGTGGGGAGGGAAGAGTTTGGCATATTTCCATGACACTTGTGACATGGAGCCCTGGAACAAGATGGTCTTTCATGTTCTTTAATATCTATTTGAACCTGCTGGGGGATGTCATCAGAGTGTTTGGGGTGGGGTCATTCAGCTCTGTTTCTCTGTGTCATCAGAATAAAGTGAGGCTGAACCAATGTCTGGATTCAATAATGGACTGGATGGCCAGTAAGTTGAGGATGAATCTTGACAAGGCAGAGGCAATGTGTGCAGGCGGTTCCCATGCCCAGGAATTGGGTATGCAGTCTGTTCTGGCTGGAGTTTCAGCCCCCCCCCCCAAAGCAGATATATATCTCGGGAGATACTCCTGGATCCAGTAGTGTCACTGGAAGCCCAAATGGTTTTGGTGACGTGGAGTGCCTTTTATTAGCTTTAGCTGGTTTGCCAGCTACAACTGTTCCTGGACAGGGATTGTCGTGCCACAGTGATCTATGATCTGGTAATTTCCCAATTTGATTACTGTAATGTGTTTATGCGGGGCTGCCTTGCAGATGACCCAACAAATTAAATTAGTACAAAATACAGCTGCCAGAATATTGACTGGTTCAGCCAGATTGAATCATAGTACACCAATTTTGAAAGATTTGTGTTGGTTGCATATTCCCTTTTAAACTCAGTTCAAGGCGCTGGTTCTGATATTTGAAGCTTTAAACAGCTTGAGACCCAAGAATCTGAAGGACCACCTCTCCCTGTATCAATTTGCCAATTTCTGAAATCTTTTTTTGGGGGGTGGGTGGGGTGTCTTTTCCATGATCCTTGAGAAAGTGCTTTCTTTGTGGTGGTGCCTCATTTATGGAACACCTTTCCCTTTGGGAGTAAGATTGATGGTGACACTGCAATTGTTTCAGTACCAGTTACAAACGTGCTCATTTGCTCAGGCACTTAAAAGTTTAAAATAGGTTTCATAGTCTGCTTGGTTTGTTTTCACTGGCCTTCACATGCCTAGGATATTATGAATGATATTTTATTGTTTAGTGTATTGTATTTTTGGTATGTTCGTATTTGTTTATTGCCCCGTTTGTGGCAGTTTAAAGATATTGGAAATAAATAAATAATCTCAGTTGTGCAAGGGGCAGCTGCAATTGCTCAGCATACAGGGACAGAGGATGCTCTGAGATATTCTCGTCTTATTTTCCAGCTAAGCCCTAGTATTTAAAATGGTCTGGGAGCACATCTCTGATGAGCATTGGTTTATATCAAGATCCATCTGTAATATTAGATTTTGTTGAATTCTAAACTAGGTATGATTAATTGAGGGGAGGGAGGAACGCTATGAGCTTAGGCATCCTGTGACCATCCGTTATGTCTTGGTGGTTAAACAACTGAGGGGACATGCATGCAAACCAATTGTCCATTTCACCATTGACAGAGCTGGTAAACACCTTGCAAATGCACTGTATGAAGCAAATACACCCCTCCTGGTAGACTAGCTACCCCTGTGTGCTGCAACTAATCCTCACAAATGGTTCCAGGCACCACACATGGGACTGTTGCGCCTCCAAGTAATGTACTCTGGCAGTCAACTCCGAGGTAAACTGATCCCATTCTCTTTGCGTCTTCTTCTATTTTTATGGAGCATGCTTGGTTCACTGCCTGCCAAAATCCGTAGCAGACTCGCATGGATGTTTCTCTCCTGCAATTTCAAACCTCAGATCCAATTTCACAGCCAGCCGCAACATTTCCTCTGTGTGTGCTTGTTTCAGGCTGAGCAGGAAAGAAACACACACTCACACGCACACACACATAAAAGTAAACCCTGAATTTGTGAAGATCTCCTAGCAACAAAACTTCCTCATATCAAGCATGTTGCTTAAAAACAAGCCTTCGCTTTTAAGATGCGGAAGGATGACAGAGGTACAGAAAGTGCTGAAAAGAAAGGGAGAGAAGGAACTGCTGCCAGGAAACTAATCACCTGCCTGTTTTTGTACCAGGTTTTCAAAACCTGAGTGAAGTGGCAGCTCCTACACTTAAGGGAGAAATGTGCTCCGATGTTCAAAAGGGATGAAGCACTGAAAACAATTTCTGGGCTGAGCCATCCCCCTTCTGCTTTTTATTTTATTTTAAAAAGTCCTAGCTAGTTTAAGAATATGCCTTGCTGGATCAGGGGCCCAACTAGTCCAGAATCCTGTTCACACAGTCAGGCCCGGGGGGGGGCATATGGGCCACTTGGCCCAGGCCTCCGATTCCAAAGGGGGCCTCGGTCAGCATATTCATAACTTTTGTGGAAATTATTTATATACTTACTTATTTATAAGACTTCAGTTATCCCCAGGGTAAAAAAAGGGGAGGGCCACATTATCTATCTGGCCCGGGCCTCGGCCTGGCTCTGCAAGGCCCTGCAAACAGTGACCAACCAGATCCCTGTGGGAAGTCCACAAGCAGGACATGAACGTAGCATCACTTTTCCTACTTGCGATACCTAGCAGGATTTGTCAAAATTGTTACAGATTTCAAGGGTGGGAGTGGGTGGGGGGAAGAATGCTAGACAACATGCTGAATTTTAAGGACCCCCCCCCCATGACTCAGCCTGAATTTTGCTTTTGGTGAATTTCAGTGGCAACACTAGAAACTAATGGTGGATGGGTCCAGTTGAGACTGGTAGAGCAGAATGCAGTGAGATGAACAGTAGGAGGAGCTAGAATCAATGAGTGGCAGGGGTTAACTAATTCTAATTTTGTCTCCATCCTCCTCTCTGCTGAGTTCTAGAAGGGGCACCACTGAGACTAAGGAGGAGGAAGAGGAAGATGACAGCCAGGGCCACCCCACCTGGCCTGGTTGTAAATAAGAAGGCAGGCAGGTGGACGTTGGCTGAGGGTAGACAGAGTTGCTGAGGGTTGGTGAGGCAGAACCCTTAATGAACCAGCCTCCATTGCTAGAAACTCTAATGTAAGATCAATAATTGGTTGCCAACTATAATTTAACTCACTAGGTAACTATAAAACTCAGGAACCTGCATGAAACAGGAAATAAGAGAGTGCCTCTTAGTGTGTGCAGAGTTTTTAGCCTTCCTCTCAGACGATCCTTCATTAGAAGGCTTGTTGTTAGTGTTGCCGGTTCTCTCAGTGCATTTCTTTTGCAGCAGGATCTGAGCAGGGGAAAGGAAGGAAAGTGGATCAAAGTTGGCTGAAGGAGATGGACATCCCTCTTAATAGGAGTCACTAGTTGCTGAGCACAAATGAAGCTTGCCTTAAATGCTGACCTCCAAGAAATGCCCCTGGCAGCTACCAAGGGATAAAAGCATGCTAGTCTGAATAGAACATTTTTCCTTAGTGTGTGTGTGTGCTGCTTGGTGCCTATACCCCAGTAGGAATGTTGATCCCCACATTCCAGGGGGAGGAGCTGTGTTGCTCTGTCTTTGTCAGGCTTCAGCAAACTTTTTCAGCAGGGGGCCGGTCCACTGTCCCTCAGACTGTGTGGGGTATAGACTATATTTTGAAGAAGAAAAAATGAATGAATTTATATGTCCCACAAATAACCCAGAGATGCATTTTAAATAAAAACACACATTCTACTCATGGAAAAACACCAGGCAGGCCCCAGAAATAACCCAGAGATGCATTTTAAATAAAGGGACACATTCTACTCATGTAAAAACATGCTGATTCCCAGACTGCCCGTGGGCCGGATTGAGAAGGCGATTGGGCCACAACCGGCCCCCGGGCCTTAGTTTGCCTACCCATGGTCTTTGTGGTAATAAGAACCACATGGTTTTGCTTGTGTCTCTTTGTATGCTTCACCTCTAATGATACTGGGCAGCTTTGGATAACATGATAGCAAAGAACACACGGTAGAGAAACAGCTGGATTTCTGTGTTGCACGAACATCCTTGAATTTATCAGGAGGCTCGGGAAACTGGCTTTTTCTGTAATCAGTGCATAGTTTTTTGAAATGGGAGGTGCTGGGACTGGAGTCCGTCTGAAACCACCTGCTTTCTCCTGCAAATCTTACCTCCTAATTCTAAGTGTGTTTGACATTCTGCTGGTTTCTTAGTGATTAGTGCACTTTGAGCATGCTCAGGGGCACATGCCCTATAATTACTCCCACATGTACCAGGATCAAAGCCTTACACTTTAAAAGACATTTTGCAATTCAACCTTTGCATTGTAGAGATTTAAGCTTGGTGCCTTTCCCCTTTGCTTTGGATAGAATGCTGGGGGTTTTTTTTACTGCTCTGTGTGTTGGGTTTTGTGCTCTTGGGAGTTAGAACACCACCTGCATTTTTAAAACTGTGAGGTGTTATGAGTCAAGCCCAAATAGATGTTTCACACTCAGAAGAATTTGTCCCCTCATCTCAAGTCTAGCAAGGAGCTTTCCTCAGTCCTGAGGAAAATATAGTTTGCACATGCCCAAAGGCACTCCTTTCTTATTGCTTCATATGTTCCTAGCGTGAGCCCTGCCATTAAAAGGAGGTTGCTGGGGTGTGCACTGCCTCAGATAAATAGCTGCACTCCTCACCTGCTCAGATATATACTTTCAGTACTTCAGCTGCTGCACAGGTGAGATCTAGCACTGAAATTAAATGTTGTTGAGTTTTTATGGCACATCCAGTTTCTGAGAAAAGCCTTCCATGTGAATGCCATTTGTAATAGCATCACCAAAATATCCACCTTTTCCCTCTGCCCCAGTGAAGTGTATGTCAGAATCCCCAGCAAAATGCCTCACCTTGTGTATTGGGTTCCATTGTTTAAGGAGCACACATTTTATGTTTCTTAGGACTTCCTACAGGAAAAGCACTTCTGATTAGCACTACTGTTGTATGGTGGCTACAAAGATTGAGCTTTGAGAGCTGGGGTTGTTCAGGAGACATCCCTTATTTAGAAGTGAAGTTACTAATTTAGAGTTAAAAGTTTCCAAGTGCTGCTCAGGCAAAGGAATGTAAAACAACTGGCTTTCCAGGCAGGCAGTATGGGGACAACAATACTGTCCTGCCTTATAGGGCTGTTGTAAGGATTATGATAAAATATGGTAAATAAATATTAAGTATTGCTGTTTTCCTTCTTTGTGAGAGCTCCAGTGCTTGTTCAGGAAGGAGAGGGAGTTTTGATACCCCAGGCAGCTTTAGGATCAGCTATGCTATGCAGTAATTCTCCAAGATCACAATCTGTTGCAGTGCTCTCAGTTATAATATGTAGATTTTGATATGTGATTTTTAAATTCTTTTGCTTCAGAGAATTGGGGATGACGCCCGTGGCTAATAATAATAAGGGGACTGTATTAATTGCTGTTAGTATCACATAAGGTGCGGAAGAAGGTGCAGACCATGGGGACAATCCAGAGAGAAGTTCTATTGCTCAAGCATCATTGAATTTCATAGGGCTTGTGCAAGAGAAATTTCTTGCTGGATTTTGTGCTGTTTTGCTGAAATACTGAGGTTCTGAAAAGAATTTGCCTATTTCATGGTCTCCTGCTGTGTAGAGTTGTTTTCTTTACACACACACACACACACACCTGCTGCTTCATTTCTCATTTTAATTCCCTTCAAAACAGGAACACAGCAAAAGTGATGAAGCTGGCTGAAAAGAAAATTAAAAATGAATACCTTAAGTAAAAAAAATTGTGCAAGCTGTGTGGCTGCTCTTTAAGAACCCTGTCGCAGCAAATGAGAATAAATTTAGATCTTGAGACAAAAAGAATTTGGGAATAGGATGTATTAAGAAAGTGGTTGCATGGAAGGAAAATTCTATTAAAAGAAAGAGGAAAAGTTGTTTAATTGAGCACTATTGTGCTCAGGTTATATCTGCTGAGGAGCAGCAGGAGATCTTGGAAGCCTCACTACGCTTTCACCATTTCACATACACTGTCCAAACACACCAGTTGTGGGCTGGATATGGGTGGCACAGGAGAGAAGTACACTTACTCCATATCATATGCACCCCCTGATGATGGCACTACCACTGGGAAAGAGACATAGCTCAGTGGTAGAGCATTTTCTTTGCACGCGGAAGGTCCCAAGTTCATTGTTTGGCATCTGCAGGTAGGGCTGGGAGAGGAGACCCCTGTCTGGACAGTACTAAGCAAGAAAGGCTAATGGGAGGAGGCCTACCCCCTAACCAGTCCAGTGACCAAGATGTACCTTGGATGTTCCTTTGCAGGGTTAAAATCATAGTATCATAGAATTGTAGACTTGGTCACTCAAATCAAAGCTCACTGCAATCAACGGAATGCAACCAACCATGCTCTGGGCTCCCTCACACCACCACCAAAAACAAATAAACAAAACCTACCCACATGATGCAGACACAAAACTCTGCACGTATCATTATCCCTCCTTCTTTCTCCCCTTTCTCTCTCCCCACAACCTCACAATGCCTATGAAAGCAGTGTCTCACACTGAATATAACGTACCTGTAGAAAGGACTCTATGAATTGAAAATAGAGACATTGTCTTTACCATTGTTATTCATGAAAATCTTTCAAACATAAAACAAAACAAAATGTAGAGTTGGAAGGAACTTTGAGAATCCAGCCCCCTAGCTAGATCATACACGACAGGCGGCCACCCAACCTCAACTTAAAAACGTCCAAGGAATGAAAGTCCATCACCTCTCATGGGAATCTGTTCCACTGTCAAACAGCTCTTACTGTCCGAAAGGTCTTCCTGATATGTAGCTGGAATCTCCTCTCTTGTATAAAGCCATTGGCTCAGCTCCTAGCCTCTAGAACAGGAGAAAACAATTTTACTCCATCCTCTATGTGATAGCCCTTTAGATATTTGAAGGTGGCTATCATATCTCCTCTCAGTCTCCTCTTTACCAGGCTAAACCTATTCAACTCCCTCAACCGTTCCTCATAAGGCCTGGTTTCCAGACCCTGGATCATCATCGTTGCCCTCATCTGCACATGTTCCAGCTTGCGCTTCTTAAATTGTGGCATCCAGAACTGTGGGCACAGTCTACAGATATAGACTGTGAACAAGACAGTGTGTGGCAGCCTGTTAGGTTCTTGGTGTGAACCAGCCTTATAAAATACATTTACAATTTTTTTTAGTCAACCCACTCACCAGTTCTTACCTTAATTGTTTGTAGTACTTGAAGGACCGGGGGTGGGGTGGGGGGAGCCCTCTTCTTTTCCTCCTGAGCCTTTACATTCAACCCAGTCCTCTTACATGTATTTCTCTCTAGGAAAGGGTATTGTTGAAAGTGAAATTGTAACTTCCTTGGGGCAGGGTCCTGTCCTGTCCTGTTTGCCGCAGCTGTTATGGCCCCATGCACACTGCCAATGCTTTATACACAATAAACCAATAAGTAATTTCCAAATCATAGGTGCTTTTTTAGATGGTCACCCTGGAGTCCTTTTTCACCTCACGTGAACCGGCAAGTGACTATTGGCAAGACTTTGTTTGTTTTAAATCCTTGATTTTGTGACCTTTAGGGCAGTGGTGGGAAGACATTGGTGCACCAAATGATAATGGACCATAATTCCCATCATCCCTGACCATTCTGGCTGTGGCTGATGGGAAGTGGGGTCCAACAACATTTGGAGGACTGGAGGAACCTCATTCCTCCTCTAGAGGGGAAAAATGCAGATGTCACCAATCAATGAGGTGTCAACTTTGGTGGCTGATCACTACACTGAATGGACCCCTATGTGCAAAGTAATCTTGTGTCAAGCAAATACACAAAACATGCAGGGGTCAAGTGGTCCCTCCTCTTTATACTGTATTGCTGCTCTGGAAGTGGCAGCTTTCAATTGGGAATTAGAAGTACAGAGTTGTGTGTCATTCCAGCGGTTTTCTATCTCCATGGGATTATGTCTACTTAATTACACTGGCTTCAGCTTCCTTGTAATTAGGATACAAAGCCTCCCTCGTGCAGCTACATGGGGACGTAACCTGACGAGCTCCCCGTTAATGAGTCAGTTCCACCCAGTGTGTATCAAATGATTTTTCCACGCTATGCTAGGCTGATCTAGCCAAGCTGTTAGTGCATTCTCCATCATGCCTCCAAAGCTGCTCAGAGCTGGAGAGAAAGGATGGTTGTTTCTCATGTCGCACGGGCCATTTCTCATCAGTGTTCAAATAGGAGCTTTCCGGATCCAAATCCCAGACCTAATCAGCCATTGATTTGTAGCAAGCCTCTGCCGTATAATTTGCACGAGCCGTCCTTGGCCTCTCTAACAGGGTTGCCTTTATAGCCTGCAATCCCTTGAACATATCTGACTGCTTTGTCACTGTGGGGGATGCGTTTGTAAAGTAGGAGGGAAGGCTGTGATGAGTTCAGCTCCCTGTGCCAAGGGAGGGAATGCAAATTAGTGAAAAGGACCTGAACAAATCAGCTCAGGATGCAATTTTGTTTTTGGGGAGAGTGATTGCATGTGACTGAGGGATGTGGAGGAGGGAGATGAGGAAGAGATAAGCAGGAGTGGCTTTTTTAAAAAAATCAAAGTATCAGATAGAATATTTTCATAAACCAAATACTGTACTGTCCTGTTTAGTGGCCTACTGATCAATGGGCAGTTAGTTAATAGGCTGGTTTATACAGCCAGAAGCTCCCATGAAGTTTGTAGGGCTCACAGCAGGCCCTCCCAGGGCCAAACTGTGTTTTTTAAAATCCCTGTAGCAAAGGTGGTCAGACTTCAGGCTCAATGGACCTACTTCTTCTTTTTTGCTATGCTGTGCTCTTACTCTATGCTGTGGTTCCCAGCGGGAGGGGAGAGTGCTGTTGCACTCAGGTCATGCTTGTGAGCTTCCCATGGGCATCAGGCCGGCCACTGTGAGAACAGTAATGCTGGACGAGATGGGCCAGTGGCCTGATCCAGCAAAGCTCTTCTTATGTTCTTACTAGAACCTTGAGATCCACCAGCCAGAGCCAGATGCAGAACCTTGGCACTGGGGGACCTCCATACTTAGAATTACCGTAATGACCAAGATGCCTCTGAACACACACTAAGTGCTGGAATTTGTTTTGGGGACCAGAACTATCTCACAGCCCTCCCATGCACAAATGACATCCTGGTTTGTCCTTTATCTGCAAACTTTCTTTATTTTAGCTCCCTAATTTTCATGGAACAGGTAGGTGTGGGAGCCCTTTTTGTTCATGCAGTTGTTAAACCGCTGGAAGTTACTGATCTACTACAAATCACCCCAAGATCTACCAAGGGGATCACAATTTACCTTCTGCCAACCCCTGCCCTTATGGCCCTTTTGTTTATGGCAAAGCAGCTTTAGGAGGGGGAAATATAGAAAAACAGAAGGGTGTGTGTGTGTGTGTGTGTGTGTGTGTGTGTGTGTTCGTTCAATCCTTTCCATGTGCCTGCTGTTTTTCTGCTGATTTTAATTTAACCCTAGGTTGGACTGCTCTGTGTTCTCTGTGCTGCTTGTACAATCCTCTAACGGGAAGAAACAGAAATACTTGTTGGCAGTTTGGAACGTTTCATATAAACCCCCATTAGTGTTTTTTTCCACTTCCTGGCTTCTCCCTGTCACCCTTCCTAACATTTTCTTTGAAAATATTTATTTAAAATGAAATGAAAATGACAAGCGATCTGGGGAAGCACCTCGAGTGATCTGTTCTTGTGTATTTAAGTGTTTGTGTTCTGCTGCTTAGGCATGTTTTCTTGAGGTCACGTTGCATGCAGCTGTCATTTCAGTGATCGCATGTAATGGGTTGCATACAGGCCTGGAAATGTGGATGTCTGTAACAAAATCTAGGCTTCTTTCTGCCAATCATCAGTGCTGGTGTTGCATACCCTTGTTCCTTTCTGTGCCTGAAGCACACACAGAAGCCTTGTTTAGATGTAATGATCCTGATCCAATAAACCAGGAGTAGGGAACCTTTGGCCCTCCAGATGTTACTGAACCACAGCTCCCATCACCCCCAGCAAGCGGGACCAGTGGTGAGGGATGATGTGAGCTGGAGGGCCAAAGGTTCCACACACCTATGAGCCCATGGTTTATTGTCAGCTCCCTTCTTTCCCTTTTTCCTTTTGTGCACCTATCTTTAGTCTCCTATTTTCTGAAAACTCACTCTCCAAGTTCTGACTTTAGTGAGAAACTGTGATTTGTGAAACTGTGATTTGTGAAACTGTGAAACTGTGATTGAGAAACTGTGATTTGAGAAACAAACTTAACTTGAGTGGAGGAGGAGGAAAGGGATGAAAAAGGAGCATAGAGCAGCTATGGACAGCCTTCTTATCTGCAGGGCTGCCAAAGGACAGTTCTCTGTTTGAAGGAGTTCTCCTTGTGAAGGCCTGCCCAGTCCAAATTTGGTTTAAAGATAACTGTCAGCTGGGAGAGCCAGCTGGGGCCTTGACTTTGCCCACCACAGTTAGCATAGTCCTGGCAGCAGACTGAGCAGGCACAGAGCAGGTCACCTGATCACAGTCTTCACCATTATTATGAGATCATAGAATTGTAGAGTTAGAAGGCACTTTGAGGGTCACGTAGTCCAACCCACTGCAATACAGGAATCCTGTGCAGTGTGTTCCTGGGTGGGCTTCAACCACCAACCTTCTGCTTAACAGCCAGACACACTGACCCATTGCTTCACAGGTGTATTGGGTTTCTATTCAAATTATAGTGCTGATTTCTAAATTTGCATATATGCATACTTTGCTCTCTTTCTTTGGTGATGCATTTTCTCTTATTTTCACAAGTGGCGAGCCACTGCAGAAAAGGTCTTTTCTTGTGTTGCTGCCCTCTGGTCCTCTTGTGGAGGAGGAACATGAAGAAGGACCTTAGATGATGATAACAGAGTCTAGACTTCTTGAGGCTTCTTGAGAAGTGCTTTAAGCCCCATTAATTAGCTGATGAGTGGGGAAGGAAATCCTGCTGTTTTGGCTTTGCGATCCTGTTCCCTGCCAATGCAGGATTAAAACCTGTCATCCTGCAAAAAGTGCTGTTGGAAGAGATTCATAAAGACCAAGCGGGCTTTCTCCCAAGAAGACACTTGTCTGATAATCTGAGGAATATAATTGATATTTTGGAAAAATTAGAAGTGAATATAAACACTAAAGCAGTGTTGATATTCGTAGAT